TACAAATTCTATCAGTGTGTACCAAGCAGGCCTCTTCAAAGGCTATGGCCTGGAGAAGTGCATACATAGAGAGACTCAGGTGTAATCACATTTTACTAAGCATGTCTTTGAAGAATTAAAGCAATAAATAAAGTAAATAAAGGTCAAAGGCCTGACTGACTTTGGCCTGTGATGATTTTTTAAAAAATATGTTACTTCTCAGTTTGGAAATAATGAAAGAATTTCAATAAGAAAAAAAAAATGCCTGGAGAAAAGTATAAAAGTTATGGGATTTTGTGGGTTGGTCAGTTGCAGCCTGGGCCAACTCAGATTAAGACTTGCCCGTTGTAAAGCCTTAATCTTTAATAATAACAATTGCCTTTTATTTTTTGCCAGTCCTGGTGTTTGAGCTTTGTTTTATTTTTTGAACTTTGAGTAAGCTGACTATTTTTGCTACAGTAGTTTACATGTTTAATTTGTCAGTGTACAGTCCTTTTCCTTTTCATTTCTGTTAAAATAAGTTTATAAACAAAATCACTTCATATAAATTGGTTAAAACGGATAGCTAGGGTCCTAAAATCTGATTGTCCGAGCCCCATTCAAAGCTGTTGTAAAATCCATGATATACACACACCTATGACCGTCTCAACGGAATTGTATATTACTACGCAAAGGCACGAAAAAAATGTGTGCTGTTAATGGAATTTGACTCTCATGCTGCTCAAATGGACCACCGAGTATATTAATGAAGTAAGAACCCGTTTTTTGTTTAAACTGAGGGGCTGGTAACTTATGTTCTTAACTAGAACTAAGCTGGTCAGCTAGCTAACAGGCTAAACGAGAACCAACAGCCAAAACAACTCCATCGTTATTATCACAGGCTTGAAAGAACTTATGGTATGATTAACTGTTAAACAGCAGTATAAAAGTCTAAAGAATGTCACTTGAATGAATTACATCCTTAAAATGTTTCAGTGAGAAGTTGCGGCAAACCGAGGCTGAATCCCAAACGGCTCTGTACTCCCTAAATAGAGTGCTACCTGTGAAAGTTTAGAAATTCTAGCCTCTACTGCCAAATAGTGCATCAATAATCGAGTATGGATGAGTCCCAAATGACTACTTCTTAGCTATATTTCTATATATTTATATATGCACTTTTGGGATGCAGGAACTGGTATTTAAATTCCTATGTAGTGCATTATGTAGGGAGCAGGGAGCCATTTGAGATTCAGCCCCAGCTTGAGAAGAGGGGGGCCGCTCGACTCGCGTTGTCGACCAAAAAGTACTTATAAAGTGAACTTTTTAGCACTAAACAGTGCTGTGTTACCATATGTTCAATGTTATATGATAAAGAGTTAAAAAAAAATCATGAAATGAGTGTAATATACAGCGATGGGCGACTGAACATTTTCATTCAGCGGTGGTTGTTTGGCAACAATACCATACATACAATACAAAGGAACTACATTTCTTGGCGGAATACTTGTTTATGTTGATTATTATTAATAATAACTTAAATTGTTCTCTGAGAAACTGTGTTTTTTATCAAATTGAATTTTGGCCACTGTTTTATAAAAGCAATAAGCCACTTGAGGCCATGTATTACTGTGATTTTATCACAGGGAAGGGTTATTCCTTTATTTTACATCATGTTTTGCATGTTTTATGTTTAACTCTACCAGCAACAATCCACAATATGTCTTTTTTCCAATTGTGAAACACCATCAAATATTCCAAAGCTACAGACTTCATATTAATTGTTGTTTTTATCCAATTCTCTTTAATTTATCCCAGATCTCTTTAGATCAGTGGCATTCTAAAAGGAAATGTATAAGTGTTTAATTCTCTGTACAACTGGGCATCTGAGTAGTATTTACAAAGCAACCTTATTTAATATCTGCTCAGACTGGATGTCTTCTGTGGAGGTATAAGGTGACATGGTAATTATTTTTCATAAGTTGCGGCCACAAATTAATATATTGAGGCCACAAGTTAATAAAGGCCAGGAATAACATATTAAGACCATAGGTTAAGTTTCTCATGGCCACAAATTAACTCATTGCCTCAATATATCAAAATATGGCCATGTCTTATTAAAAGTAATCACCATGTCACCTTTGGGGCTCCATAATCTTCTAAGAGATACCAACCATGATACATCTCTCTCATTTTCTGACAACCGGGGTACATATTTGAGAGGGTCAGGGTTACTGTGAGCTGATTTAAGCCTACACATACAAACTATAGATGCCATGATCCCACATGATTGCACTTTTTCTTTTTTGTGATCAAAAGTTTTTTTTATGTATTTTATCTGCATCAAATAGCAAACATTACAGAACTATGTATTTTGCCAGGGCCGGCCATAAGGTGGGGGGATATAAGGTAATCTTTATTAAATATAATATAAGAAACAATAAAGTTATAAAAAGGTAAAAAGTAAAGTTTACAAAGTAAAATAAATTGCAGATAACAGGAAAATTGTAAATGTGTCTTGGTCTAAAATATATAACAAGGATAATTAAATGATATCACTTTTTCTTTTCCATTACTGATACTGCACCTTGAAGTATTGGCCCAATACCAATAACAGTCCACTGTTTTTTTCTTTAAAAACTAGAAAAGTTTTAAAATTAGCTATATTTAATTTAATCACTTTACTTCAGATGCACATCTAATGGTTGCTGTCATGCTCAGACTACTCTTTAGTCCACAGGAAGCAATAAGCTACACAGCTGAAAACATCACACCACACAATGTGAGTGTGTGTTATTCCAGCCTACATTTATTACAGGATTAGATTAGATTCATTCCTGTTTTCCATTCATTATTGAACAGATACTAATACTGCCATTAATAACAATGCTATCTCTATTATAAACATCTATTGTAAGCATTTGGAAAAATGAAAGGGTTAAATCAGCATGCCCTCCAAATGGCACAGCCCCAGTTTGCTTATTGTTATTGTCAGTTAAAGAGTCTCATAGAGTAAACAGAGGTTAGCCTCTTCTATGGCGGAATGAATTTGGAGCAGATTTCATTTCTTTTCTTATAAATGATTCATATGAAGATGGGCAGCAAAAGCCTAAAAGGCAAAAGGTCTAAAATGCACAAGGTAGCGTGCAGGTAAGATGCAGTGAATACTCCGAGCATGTGGGCAGTAAGACATGCTGAGAGGAGCTTAGTTAGCTAGCATTAGCTTGTAGCAACTGTCATGATTTTATTACTTTCAGGATAAAAGCATTCTCCAGTTTTCATTGTATGACTGTTTGATTAGCTTGGTTATCTCATTATAGCAAATAAATAAGAATAGAAAGCAAACCCAGTTAGCAAAATTTGTCTGGCTCACTTGTGGGCCACATCCTTGGTTTGTTCTGGCCCAGTATATGGCCGAGTCCTAGGCCCAGATCTGGCCCGCACACTGTACAGTGAGTAGAACTAAGGTATATGGCCCAAATCTGGTCCCAATCTGGCCCAACTACACTGTTGGTGCACAATATTCACACCAGAATTGTCCCACAAATATAGAAACAAGGAAAAACGGTATGAAGCTGTCCATGATCTGGCCCTGTTCTGGCCCGCATGCCTAACATCTACCCCGTAGTCAACTAACACTCACATAGGAAAGCCAGAATCAGCCCAAAACTGTCTGCTATCTGGGAAGTGAATGTCCAGATTTGAGAAAAAGCTGTTAGTTAGTTAACCTATTTTGAACACAGCTAGCCCTTTTCTGCTGTTAACTGTTAGGTAGTAAGTTAGCTATTAGCATTAGCAATTTGCAAAAAGGGACTCGATTTTCTGTCATTTTTCTTTCCCTTCTTTTTGTTTCTTCTTTTGGAGAAAGAAGTGTGGTGGGGGGGTCAGAATCAGGTAACTCTGGGTCTGAAAATAAGCCCACTCCGGCCCTGCCTGTGCCTACAGGAAAGGATGTGAATCTGAAATGAACAGGTGTTCAAGATAAGAAGGGGTAGCAGTTGATTCTAACATATTGACTGTCCAAAGAAAAACGTATCTCCATTTTCTTCGATTTTTTTTTTCTACATCAGTTGTGCATAACAGCTGCCCTTTACATTGTGTGAACATTTCATGATAAACGGACTGATGGAAAGGCTCCAAAATCACTTAGAAACTTCTTTACATTAACTTATATTAAACATTAAGAACCTTTTTGCCTTTGCCTGTAAAGTAAAGTTATTATTTATCTGTTAACTGTTTTACTATTTGGAAATACAGCAACAATCTATTTTCAGCCCCTTCCTGAAGCCATGGACTAAAGGTAAGCACGGGTGGACACGTGGGTAAAATGGTTAACAGTTTACTATTACACTTACATTACAGTAACCAAAATATGTTTCCCTGGCTTGGTTATCAGTTGTTAATAATGTGCTGTATTTGTTTTGTTTTGTATATGTTTTGATATCTGCCTTTAGTACATGGATACAGAAGAGTAACACATTTAGTTAAGTCAGTTACTTTCCTCCTCGTGTTGACCTTAAATAAACCTCTAATTTGTGACCTTAACTCCTTAAAATACCAGGCTTATTACATACTAAGACTTATAATTGAGTAACTACAGGGACTTCAATGCAAACTGGCTGGGCTGTTCATAGGTGATTGAGGTGTGTAATAAAGCTTTGGGCAAACCAGCAGGCCCATGGCCATTTAATGGGTTGATAGTCCCCTTTCATACCAGTTTATAATAACCCCAAAGGGGTAACATTTACTAACATGAACGCATAACGTTTTAATTAGCACACACACACATACACACAAAAGAACAAACACGGGCGTCTAATCTCAGAGACAGGTTCTGTGTTAGCGGATGTAGCTTGTATTACACCAGGGGTGACCCCATACATTAACAGCATTTATGACATCTTCCGCTGTTCCTCACATCAATCGTTGTAGGGAGTTGCTGAGCAACACTGTTTGGTGAGCTTCAGATATGTAGATTGTGTCAGGGGCTTATTAAATTTCCAGTGACCGAGGCATTGCCTCCACCTCAAGATAAAAAAGATAATCAGACTTCCTGAGACAAAGCTGAGGTTACTTTGCTCTCGTATTCTTATGTGTGGGAAAGCTACAACATGATAATAATGCTGACTTTTAAGGGTGAGTTTCTACTAAATCTCACTAAATTATCTTGTTTTGATCACAAATGATGCTTTTTATATTTAATTTGTTGTTTATTACATGCATTTTACAGCATGCTTCGAGCCTAGTTAGGTTGCAGTGTTGCTTATGCCATTTTTCCTGTTATCAAACATTGTTAATCTCTGTAAAAGTATCTTCATAGATTTGTCTTATAAGCATTTTCTAAAGAAAGTCACATTATTTAAACAGTTGTCCACTAACATTGATTAATTTACATTTTGGTATGTTGCAAATTGTCTTGAGTTGATCTGTCCATGTTCCACCCACAGATTCATTCTTTTGTAGCAACTGTTGCAAAGTTGTAGAAGCTTTGCAGAACAGTGGCAAAATCCCATTCAGCCTAATGAGAAATAGTAGCAGACATTGTATAGACTATGTTAGGTATGTTTAACTATGTTATGTTATATGCGTTAATGTAATCTAAACTTAGTCTTGTGATCTCAAGATGTGATCTCCTAATGAGAATACACATGTGGGGACAACTTTTGGTTCTGGGTACTCCCCGTCTAAATCCTGCTCCCAAATTCCTCTAATCTGTGTTTTGTTTACATCCAGAGTATAATCAGTAATACAAGCAAAACAAGCCAGCTTGAAAAATGCTATTGTTGGCTAATGGAACTTTATTTTGCAAGAGATAATGTTTATTTTCACTGCATGTAATGTGTTCTCCACACATGCAACACACATGTACACTCCTGGGCAAAAAAATGGGGCCAAGCCCAAAATATACTGGTTTTTACTGATGATTTTGGCCTGGTTAGAGTCCAGGTTAAAACTCTATAGAGCATATTTGGTCTCACATTTAACTCAAACTAGCTCAGCAATGTTTTTCAACGGTTTTAAGCCATCAATGCTGAGTGGAAAAATATTGACTTTTCTTTCTCTAAAAGGTTGTCTGCAAATTTACACACACAACTTCAACATTTAAAGAATCAAAAGGAAATGCTAGCCCATATTAAGTTACGCCATCTATTTGTTTAATGATTTGTTGTTAAGCCTATTGAAAGGCTAGAAGTGGTTCCATGGTGTAACAGTTAGCACTCTGGACTCTGAATCCAGTGATCTGAGTTCATATCTTGGTGGGACCTTCTCATTGTGATTTTCCCCACTGTCGGACTAAAAACAGATTAATATGTTGCCATTTTTGGCACGTGCTTATTGGTGAATGTAGGTATTTGAGAAAAAAGGAGTTGTGGAGGTGTTCTTCAATTTCTTATTAGGTTCAATGCAATTATTCACAGTTTCCTGTAAAGCTTGTCCAACCTTGCAATGACAGAATGCATTTGTAGGTGGAGCATGGATAGTCAATTGTCTCCACACTAATTCGTCCTGCTTTTGTGTAGTTTTGCTGTCATTCACAGATGTTTTGTGAAAGACGAGCTCATCACCATGTTGGTCAGTCAGCTGCTCTTGCCTGTCTACATCTTCACTTTCCTAATCGGACTCCCCGCCAACCTGCTTGCATTCTGCACCTTCTGCCGCAAGGTTCATCGCAAACCTGCCCCCATCGACATCCTTCTACTCAACCTCACCATCTCTGACCTCATCTTCCTCTTCTTTTTACCCTTCAAGATGAAAGAAGCCTCTGATGACATGATTTGGACACTGGATGACTTCCTGTGTCCCCTCAGCAGCTTCTTGTTTTTCTCTACCATTTACACCAGCACATTTTTCCTGACGGCAGTTAGCTTTGAACGCTACCTGGGCGTTGCATTCCCAATTCGATATGCCTTGTACCGTCGACCACGATACGCTGTGATTGCAAGCATCTTTTTCTGGCTTGTGGGAACTCTGAACCTCAGCATTGTCTACATTGTACCATCTTTGCCTTCCAGCAGTGACGATAATGAGAACGACAAAGTTCTGAACAGCAGTGCGATGGAGTCCTCAGCAAAAAGGTGCTATGACAACTTTACCGAAGAGCAGCTGGATATTCTGCTCCCGGTCCGTCTGGAGCTGTTCCTGGTGCTCTTCTGCATCCCCTTCCTCGTCTGCTGCTTCTGTTACATCAACTTCATACGGATCTTGTCAGGCTTGCCCCACATTGGCCGGCGTCGCAGGCTGCGGGCCATTGGATTGGCTGTGGTTACTCTGGTAGTCTTTGCTGTATGTTTTGGGCCCTACAACACTTCACATGTGGTAGGTTTCATCCGTGATGAGAATGAAGAGTGGCGGCAGTTGGCTTTGATCTCCAGCACCCTCAATGCCTGCCTGGATCCCATTATCTTCTACTTCTCGTCATCAGCAGTACGGAGTGCACTCAGCGGCTTCGCGAAAGGACTCAGGGAGAAGGTTCATGTCCTGAAATGTTGGAAGCTTCAATGTTGCCCCCTGCTGGTCCCCAAGACTGAGAAATACAGAGAAACACCTCCACCTGATGACCTGAGAGGTACCTAGTACCACTGGAAATGCTATATGTTCTACATGTATGAATAACTGAAACCATTTGAAGCCACTTACGCTGGACGTCCCATCAAAACTGTACCATTCTGAAGCTGATATTGAAGGAAGAGTTCTGTAATGAGCGGTTCCAGCTATGAATCTGCTTAGACAAATAAAAAAAAAAAAGACAAAATACTACACAACATGCTTACCATATATTCAGGCTGCACAGAGGGTATGTCTGCTTCTCTTGGGCTGTTTACTCCTTTCATTGCTGTTAACATTATTTGTCAAGACCAAAATAGTTCCTTTGTAAGATTTATTCTTAATATTTCATTGAATATTGAAATAAATGTCATGCTCTTTTATGAAAGACAGTCAGCATCCTGAATTTCACTGTTTGAAGACTTTTCCCTTTAGACATATATGGATGCATGTGACATCAGATTTATTTCTCAGGATAAAATTGGGTCCTGGCACAGCAAATATGGAGACAGTACATAACCATGAGTTGCACACAATTATGACCGCTATCTAAAGCAGAGAAGTGTCAATACAGGAGCTGTCACAGACAGCAACCTCATAATGCCTACTTGGACTTTGGTGTATTTGTCTTTTTACAATACAATGTATTCCAAACAGTATAAATGACCGTCCAACATTTTTATATGCTAACTAATAATCACATTCTCTTCACCCACATGACTTATGAACTAACATCTTATCAGTTAATGAATTTTAGCACCAATAAAGTAAGAAAAGGTGACAATAGGGACACTTGTTCAAATAGTTACAATCAGTATGTTGTTATTATTATTATTACTACTATTATTGTTATTTATTATTATTATTATTATTATTATTATTATTATTATTATTTCAAGGCAGGTCATTTCATGTTTTTCACAAACGCTACTTACATCCCCCATTGTTCTATCTATGTGGAATCTGCTCCCTAACTCCCTTTGTAGTAGACTATGTAGATTATGAAATAACGGCTTCTACATCCAAATCGTGAAATATGGAATAGAAAGCCATTTATATTTGGCCATAAGTTCTATAAGTCCTACTTTTCAGCTAACACTTAGTGCACTATTTAGGTGTATAGGCCATTTCATGACCTATGCAGTGCACTTCATAGGGATTAGGGAGCCATTTTAGATTCAGTCTATAAATTATACAAAAAAATTCCCAAGCATTCAATGGAAAAAGGACTTAATCTATTTCAATGAAATAACTATTCAAATTGTGACATTGGAATTCATTGCTTCGTTTGATTATTCATTGTCTTTTTTTTTTTCTAGATGATTATTTGCTGATTATGTATGTAAGTTTTAACCATTAGAACCCTATGGTAATTTGAGGTAATTGTTTGGTATTTGGGTCAATTACAATTGCAATTATAAACTATTTGCATTAGACAATCACACATGCCTGGGCTACTCAGATATGCCATTATTTGACATATAAATGCCAACAGAATTTTGATATCTTTATGAATTGGGCTAATGTTTGATCAAAACTTTACCTAACATCTGCAAAATTTTGTACATTTTTGTTTATAGAGATTTTGAAAACAAGCGGCACCTTAGATACCTTGTTTGTCTGGAGTGTCTGTGAGCTGAAGGTGCAAGAATTTTGATGGTAATACATTTTATTGGTCATTATTGAGTAAAAATAAACTATAAGCATAAGGCAGCCATGTTTTTATTGATTTTATTGATTTTCTGCTAAGTGCTAAAACCGATACACAGCAAGACAGGCTTTATTTCTAGTTACAAAGTGTGTTGCATATTTAATATCAGATATTTTTAATACTCAAAATCAACTAAAAGACAGAGCTACATATTATTGATTTTATAACAATATTTGTCATATTTAGTGTTATTTATCTGTTAAAATGTGTTGGTGTGATTTTGAGGGAAAGTTTTAAGTGCACTCACTGTAGTGGTTTGGAACTTTTTTCGTGTCTTTCCTCTCCCCCCACTCTATCAGCTCAGACAGCATGCACAGACCACATGGTTAGCATGTAGCCTTGTTTTTAAGCTCATTTAACTGTACATTTCTGACTATCAGCACTAAATTCAGAGTCAATCAGAGGACTGTTTGAGACACAAGGAGAAGTTACATGTGCAGTTAAGACATTTAAATGGGGCCTTTAAATGGATGTAAATGCAGGACTTGAATGGTGGTTTTCTAAACTGGATTACTGACAGATTCGTCGCTAAACCCCCACAAAGTTACCCTGGACACCCAGGGTAAGTCATGCTGAGCTGTAATGTGTGAATTGCGTTGCTGTTTTAACTCTTTTGTTGCCATATGAGGGCTAAAGCAGAGAGCTAAAAGCAGGCTTTACAGTGATCTGACTGTATTTTTTTGCTGTATTTCTGGGTTCTGCTGAGTGTTCTGGTTTGTGAATCATGTTGCTATTTTTAACCCTTTGTTTATAATATGAAGGCTAAATGCAGACATATAATAGTAGCAAGTGGATTTTGGGTGATTTTGGAGCAGGATTGCTGGCTGATGGTTGGTCACAGGTGGATGAAATCACTCTCGTTAGTAAGGGCAGGGTTTGCTGAGTGTTGTGATATGTGAATAATGTTGCTGTTTGTTGTAATATGAAGGCTAAAAGTAGATTAATAATATTAGGATTTTGGGTGATTTTCTGAGCCAAATTACTCTCTAATACTGACAAAATTCAACTGCGCATTTTACCTATGATGTTTTAACATGCATTGAAATGGTTTCTCTTGGCTAACATCAGTGAAACAGTTAATAATATTATTCTTGTAATATTAAAAATTATGACAGGGCAATATTGTAAGAATAATATTACTAGTTTTGATGATGGTGTCAGACAAGTGCAGTATTTCTTATAAGAAGCCATGCCACCCAACATCCAACTGATAGTTAAATCCTATGGACCTGTTGGTGCGTCCTTACTCTCTTAATAATTACTAATATTTCATAGTTGTCATTAGACAGTACACCATTTGATTAATAATTCAGTGTTGTAGTGAAGAACATTAGAGGCGAATCTAAGGTGCAGTGTGTAAGATTTAGTGGCATCTAACGGTGAGGCTGCATATTGCAACCAACTGAATACCCCTCCCTCATCCTTCCTTTTCCAAACATGTAGTAGAACCTATGGTGGTCATCTGGTTTTCCGCTGTTGCCTGTCCTGATTTCATTTGGCTTCTTCATGTTTTCACTTCTTTAATAAGGAAGATTCACCCTTCCTTGTTTTTTCTAATGCGTATGATCCTCCATTTTCTTGTGAGTATGATCCTCCATTTGTAAAAAATTTGGGTTCTCAAACTTCTCACAACACAAAATGGTTAGCCAGCACTAACAGCGACCACTGATTATTCTTCTTTTTACATTTTTCAACCGGTGCTATAGCACCACCAAATTGAAGCTGCTTCAACATAAAACGTGAGAAGCACTCTGTAGAACCTGTGTTTGGTTTGTCCATTTTGGGCTACTGTAGAAACATAGAGGCGGACATCGGACCTGCTCCCTATGTAGATATGAAGGGTTCATTGTAAGCTAACGAAACACAATGATTCGTAGTTACAGGTAATTATATACTAATGAAAACAGGGTTTGGTATATTATATTCCATTTCTGCTAATAGATTCCCCTTAACTTTACACACTGCACCATTAAATAATATATAGCCTAAAAAGTAGGTAATGTTGTCTCTTCTTCTCTAACACTTATTTAGAATCACCACTTGAAGTCATTTGAAAATAAACCAAACAATATACATCTGTATTTATTATTAAATGTAGACATAGTAATAATAACATTCTGCTCTCCTCTCAGGATATGTTTGAATTTTGGAACCAATGAACATCAAGAAACAGTTAATCCATCATGGAGTCCACCTTTCCCGGAGACCAAGACAAGACAGAGTCAAAATGGTGTCAAGACCGAGACAAGACAGAGGCCATTAATTATGGCCTCGAGACAAACACCAGACGTCAGTATTACAATACTATTAATAAACGCATAATAAGCAAACATGTGCATGGATAGACCCCAGGGAGGGCTTGAGCGTTTTCAGTAAAGCAAAGCTCAGCATAACCCTGGAAATAGAGCTTGTGGGTCGGCTTGGGTTTCACAACCTTTGTCTCTCTTGAGTGCTTCCTCCAGTATAGTGAAAGGATGTGTAGTTTTCAAGAAGCCATAACTGACAAAAGATGGCGTTGATGGAGTTCTCAGAACAATGCACTGACCACCTCAGAGTCCAGACCTCCACATCACTGAATGTGTTTGAGATGACTTTGCTCATGAGAAGCAGAAAATGCAACTAACTTCTAAGACTGAACTTCAGAGATGTGGAAAAACACCCCTACAGATTTCTGCTAGGGTGCAGACACAAAATATTAAAAAAAGGATACTATATTTAGTTGTTGTTTGTTGTGTCATTTACAATTAAATATATTTTCTGTTTTATTTTTAAGAAATACATTAAAGATGGGTAGTGATCATGTGAAAATGAACTAGGACTGGTTTTGCTAGATAAAACCACACACACTTTAGTGGACTTTGAGGATAAGAATGAAATGCAAAAATGGTGCAGAAAATAGGCCTATTAAACAAGTGAGCTATAAACTGGTTCACTTTTCAGCCACAGCTATAAAATCTTCCTATGTGTTAGAACAACATACAAATGAAAAGTGTCTGGAGTAGAAATAGTTTAGTTAGTTCAGTTTGTTGCTGTTAATTAAGCCTCACATTAATCTTCCAAAAGGAATAAAAAATAGCTTAAGGGAAAGGATAAGACCAAAATTATACAGCTAAATAAATAAAGATATGATTTAACTAGCGTAATACAAAGGCAATGAAACCAAATTACACAATCTTTTTCTTTCAACACTTTAATTTTACTAATAAATAAATAAGTGGTATAAATGGTATGCAAACACAAAATACAAATACATATTTACAAGTGGTCATTTGCAGTTGTTCATATTGGGTCTGTTGGAGAGTTCATGGATCTCTAAAAGACATACAAGTAAAAAAAGACAATCAAATAAATATTAAAATAAATAAATAAATAAAATTACAAAGTTAAATAAATACAATTACAAAATTATGAAATGAACAAATTCCCATTATGGTAAAACTGAGATTGAAGACCAAAATCACATTTAAGTAGCAAAAGAAACAACTAAATTGTCTAACAGAGGAAATTACAGTCATACTCTTCCGAGACTTATACTGTACTGGACAACAAGTAAATGGTTTACTGATGCACAATCTAGGTCTACTGGTCTGGCCTTTGACCCTCAGTGAGCAAGCCTAAGGCGACAGTGGCAAGGAAAAACTTCCAGAACAGCAGGAAGAAACCTTGAGAGGAACCAGACTCACTGGGGCAGCCCATCCTCCTTGGGCAGGCACAAATAAACGTCTTTTTTTTTACTCTTTCACATCTTAAACTAGAGCGAATGCAGTCTGAGAGGATTTAATAGAGTGGTAAAGCCTGTTAAACACAGGTGAGCATCACTCAGCCAGCAATCGCACATAAGCTTTTCCCACTGAAAAACTTCTGCATAAATGCTTTATAATTTTCTTGTGTTTTCTTGATTACTTTTTTGGGCAGGTTTTCATTGTTGCCCTGGTGTTTCCAGGATCCACCTGTAACCATGGGATGATGACGATGGAAGTCATCCCAAGATTTCAGTAAGTGAATCAGCACAAAGTTGTGGAGAAACATCTCTGGGTTCCTGATGACTTCTGAGAACAGAACGGCCCCGATGGCTATAGCGTCCTCTGGGCTCTGTACACAGCAGTCGACTTTGTTGTGGTTGCCAATGATATAATAGTACAGCGTTTCAGTGTATTTCTTGTTAAACCTATTTGTTGGGCTTATTTTTGCATAAGACAGGTTCCTATCATTAAACCTCATGGTCTGAAGATGCCCGTCAGTGTACTCATACTGCGGAATGACATACAAGTCCTTATTCTGCAATCTGAGCACATATTTCCCAATCTGTAATAAATAGTCTTCTTGCTGTTCTTCTTGTTTTCTATGCATGAGGTGATAAACAGTTTTGGCATACTCCTGAAAGCCACCATTTTTGAAGATGGTCATGCTTGAACCGGACTGTAGAGTTACAGCTTCCGTAATGTCATCTTGTGTACGCTCATGTCCAAGGTTAGCAAGTCTCATGATTTCTTGTATGGCTTGATCTTTGTCCCATGAAATACACACTTTTCCATCTGGCAGTGTGAACATGTTTGTTGTATCGCTGACGTCTTTGGCATCGGAGGCATGAAGACTGAGTCTGTCTGATTTCACTGAAAGAGTGAAAGTATCTTCCAGCTTAGGAGGCCAAAATTTCCCCTCAATCAGCTCACAGGCGTTGAGTGACAAACACATTAGCTGCTTGCCTTCATTCTTCTCTGGACTGGTCTGTGTAAATGGGAATCATTTTAAAAATATGAGAAAAACATGAAGGTGCAAGTGTTGCTGGTTTTGGTCTAGACCACAGGGAATTGCACATCATTTGTCTATTCAAATGGATTCTAGATGTTTCTATTACATGGACTATGTCAAGTTAAATTTCATCAAGTTATCTACTCTTAAAAATAAAGGCACTAACAAGGGTTCTTTGTGTGATGTCATGGAAGAACCACTTTTGATTTCAAAGGATGGTTCTTAGAGAACTGTTTCTGTAAATAAGACATGTCTTTGTCAAACGTGGTTCTTTGAGAAACCATAGGTGGTTCTTTCATCCCACAAAGAAACATTAGGGGCTACTTTTTTTTTAAAGGAGTGTATAGTGATTGCTTTTTTCTAACCTCGTCTGATGAAACAGGATCTTCAGCTTCATCATCACTGTCCACAGAATTGGCAAAATTGAAACATTTCATTAGTTTAAACTTTATTCTAGCCAGAATATGCTGTTATCACACAACCTACGTAATGCTCTGTATTTAAAAGAAAATCAATGGCAATAAACCTACTTTTTAAAAATGGATATTAGTAATATGAATGATCTGTTCAGTGTGCCTCATTTGTCAGTTGAGAGGCCTGTCATCATTAGGAATATAAAAGTTTGAAATACATGAAATGTTACTCACCCATATGAAAAATATACATTTATTTATATTTGTTATTATATTTTTTATTTTTGTATGTAGTTTTAACAAAGCTTACAGATATAAGTAAATATACATGAGCTGAATGAACGGTACTGACTGTGTATGCAGTAAGACACTCACACAAAATGCATTTCAAATAAACAAGATATCGAATCATGACTGCATTTTCACAGTGTATTAATACCTACAGCACTTGCTTTTGCCATGTTAAAGGTTGTTTTGCTAATATTTAAGAACAAGATACTGGAATACAAATTCATTTCACAATTCCAAACAGTAAAGTGCATTAGACAGTATTTTGGCTATATTCATACATTTTCAAATGTGCTTGATAAATACATTTACATGTGTTTATTTTTGTATGGTACATTTCTATGTGTAATGTTTCCCCATACACTTTAAAACAAATGTATTTTAAATTATACTGGGACAATATGGCAATATATTCTGAAATACATTTTAGTGTTTGGAATGTATTTCAGCGTGGCCTGCAATGTATTTGAAATTTTAAGTGTTATACATTTATAATATATAACATATATAAAAATACATATATATTTTTTTCCATACCGGCAGTTTTAAAAAAGCTGGGACAGTATGTGAAATGCAAATAAAAACAGAAAACAGAAAGATGTGATATAAAATCCACTTTGACCTGTACTGAACAGAGACAAAATATTTGTTTTATACATGTTTTATGTTTTTTTACTTTAAATATATAAAAGACTAATTGTATAAATATATTATTCATTATCACATATAATTTAAAGATATATTCACTATGTTCCTAGTCTATATATATATAAATATATAAAGACTAGGAACATAGTGAAATCACTGCACTGTTAAGACTGTGCTGACTTCTCTGGGCTCGAGCTTGTCCTAAATCCCATGGGTCAAACCCAAGGCCAAAAGTCAGGCCCATGGCGCAATTCTATTTGGCCTTAAAAATAATTTTTAAATAAGTCAAGTATTCAGTGCATATTTTTTGTTCTCTGGGCCAAAGAAGAAAAAGACTATCCACACTGTTAGCAGTATAAAGGACATTCATGCTTTTTTCATTATAACAACGCTAAGCCACTTCGGCGCATGTTCCAACAGCATGGCTGTTAGCAATAGCATGTTGTTGAAACATGAAATATCATGTTTTGTACTATGTTCAATTTAATACAGGCCAAACAGAATTGCATTCTATTTTTATTAGATTTTACATACTGTCCCAACTTTTTTGGAATTAAGGTTAGGATATTTACCTGGTTCTCTTCCGCTTATGTGTATCAGGTATATCAGGTGTATCAGGTGTGAATGAACTTTTCAGTAATGGTCTCTTCTCAATGCATTTCCTGAACAAAAGTGATCAAAGCACAAATGTATTATTTATTTGTGCCATTCAGGTTTAAAATTAATAAGAAATTATTGTGTTTTCTAATGTCATTATTATGTCAAAACATCAGTCTGTATGTGTACAAAAAAGGATGTAAACTCACTCTGAAAATGCCTGAGCAGAGGAAGACTTGAACCTCTTCTGGCAATTCTGTCCATGTGCTGCTAAAGAAAAACAGTAATGAATGTAATGTAATGAAACTATTCACTCTGACACCAGACAAGCAAAATCCTTCAGAAAATAGGAACACTGACTCTGAAAAGCACAAAGCAAAAACTTTATTTTGATATAACTGCTTATTCGCACTTTTTATCATTGCTGATATCACATTATGAAAAATGAAGCTTCAGGGTTAGTACTGTGCAAAAGTCTTAGGCGAGGGGTGGGAAACTGAGGGTTGTACCAGTCCAGCACAGTTTGTTGATTTTTCTGCTTTGGCACTTCAACTAAATCTGCCAATTAACTGATGAGTTGAATTGGGTGTGTTTGAGGAAGAAAATCACCACATTATGCAGGAATCCAGTCCTCCAGGACAGGTCTTACGCTATATGAGAAAATGATATGTAAGGTTTCCAGATTAGTAAATGTTTGTTTGTTTAAAAAACACTAACATTAGACCAAAAAAACTAAACAAACAAAACAGAATTCCAAAGTTCTCCTCAAGAAAGTTTGTATTAAATCTAGTATTATTTACTGTTCAATACCCTTCAATACTTGTCTCAACTAATCAATCCTTTATTAACTTAGATCAGGTGCTGCTGATGGAATTGAACAAATCCATACAATGGCTGGACTGCAGTGAAAAGTCAGGAACCGAAGGTGAATTCCTCTAAATGTATTACTCTATTTTAGACATTAATTATCTAAACTATCTAAAAGTAACTACTGAAATAAATAGTTCTAAAGAATTTTCATGATTTAGTGGGTTTAGTGATTGTGGGACTGTAAGCGAAAGACAGGAATGGGGCCCTGAGGTTGCACATTTTAAGTGGCATGACCATCTACACTACAGAAAAAATGATGTCATCTTAAATCTAGCTGACATATCTAATATTTCTCATTTTGCTACATTAGAAAATTATTTAACTTATTTCTAGACGTTTTTACTTAAGTGATTTTATTAATTTAAATTATTGCACTATACTGAGCTGTGTGTTGCGCTGGTACAAGTGGATCAGACACAGCAGTACCGCTGGAGTTTTTAAACACTCACTGTCCACTCTATTAGACACTACTACCTTGTTGGTTCATCTTATAGATGTAAAGTCAGAAACAGTAGCTCATCTTTGCTGCACAGTTTGCGTTGGTCATCCTCTAGTCCTTCATTAGTGGTCACAGGACGCTGCCCACAGGACGCTGTTGGCTGAATGTTTTTGGTTGGTGGACTGTTCTCAGTCCAGCAGTCACAACTGCTGTGTCTGATCCACTTGTACCAGTACAACATACACTAACACACCACCACGTCAGTGTCACTGCAGTGCTGAGAATAATCCACCATCCAAATAATGCCTACTCTGTGGTGGTCCTGTGGGGGCCCTGACCTTTAAAGAACAGAGTAAAAGGGGGCTAATAAAGTGTACAGAGAAACAGATGGACTACAGTCTGTAATTGTAGAACTACAAAGTGCTCCTATATGATAAGTGGAGCTGATAATGCTGCTTACCTTTGCCTAATGCAAACACCACTCCTGACTTTTGCACAGCACTGTAGTTGCATGCACAGGTGCAAGTCCTGTTAAAACACTACCTCACACATGGGTCTTACTAGAATGTCTGAGGATCAGCTGTGAGAAATTTTGGGGTAAATGATGTTTGGAATGTAGATGTATTAGGCTGGGAACACACTGAGTGTGAAATTTCTAAACCAATCAACACTTTGAATGGAGTTCAAAGTAGAGCCTGATGCTACACTCGTCAACATTTTTTTGACAGACAATAAGCCTGTCATTAGCCCACTGATTTAACGTAAGTTATCATCACTGAAAAATCCCCCCAAAAACTCCAATTAAGCATGCAAATGTGTGTTGCATATGTGGAGTTGTTTGTACTGCATTGCATGCAGTACAAACAACCATTACCTTCTTGCAAGAGAAAATCAGTTCCAACTGATTAGCATACAATTAGCCAGCTTCTTTTGCTTGTGCTATTAACTTGAGCAATACAAACATTTGGGGGTGGGTTTTTAGAGGGGGTGTAGCCTTGTTTGCAGTGGATTTCATCACAATCCATTACCAAAGGTTTAACAGGTTGTCTCCAGATGAGTGTTCTCATACTGAGATCATGTCTGGCCCTATGAAAATAGATGAATGAATCTAATGTATCTAATAAAACAGGTGACCGTACCAACCTTGTGTGAGACTTGGCCTTCGGGTGTCCTCATCAGAGAGTCCAGTCTTGAGGCAAGCTCCACAAAGGCTGTCATCTCCTGGATGCACATTCTGTACTGGAGCCTGACTTTCCTGTACATTTGTGTCGCATTGGAGGGTTACGATTGTTAAACTGCATTAGTCTTTGCATTACATTTTTTTTATGTACTTGTTTATGCTAATAAATGCTTTCTCTCTTAATTTATCTCAACATGATAACCTTACCAAACCTTTAACTTTTTTAAGGAAACGTTAATTTAATTGCAGTTACTGGCAGTAGTAGTGATTACAGTATGGAACCTATCAGTGAAAGTAGCGAGTGGAACTTACTTTCAATCTCCCACCACAAGAGGGTGATCCAGAAATGTCAGTGGCATCTGCAAGAACCAGGAGCTCCTCTTCTTCACTGGTACTGATGAAATTTCAAGAAAACTTCAGTCCAGTGTGTTCATTCACCAGCTAGATATTGATATGATACTTCAGATTCCGTGAACTGCTGATCCAAAGATCAGGAAAGGAAGCAGGACAAGGAAATTGGAAGCTACTATCCAAATTCCACAAGGTAAGAAATATTCGTGTTGAAATATACTGGGCCAAAAATGTGTAATCAACCCAGTATATTCAGAAATCAGAAAAGGAAGCAGGTCAAGAAAATGCAAAGAAAATGAAGGCTGTCCAAATTCCACATGATGAACATGGTCAAAGAACCAAGTTCAGAATATTTTTCAAACGCATTATGTAGAATACATTTGAAGAAACAAAGCGCAACTAAGTCCTCGAAAATCCTACATGAGAATAAGACAGATGCCTTTGGTTGTAGGATGTATCTTCACACAACTTTTTCTACAAAGAAAAAGTTTTATCTTTTAAGATTTCTCAAGCTTTTACAATTTCTCAACTTCCCTCTTGCTGGAACCTTTAAGGCTGCTCATGCTCATACTTCCTCCTTCGCCTTGATCTCGATCCTTCTTTAACTCTTTATCTTAAGGGATGCTATGCTACAGAGGTAGCATGTCCATACACAGAGCAGATTCCTTAGGCTTCCTGTGATTAAATCCACAAATACTGAGATGGGTATTAAGCCAATCCACAACAAAACATTATGGCATTTATGCAAGTTTAAGACTCCCTTTGTTGAAATGTATTTCTTTGTCTGATGTATAAATCCTTGCACAGTTAAGCTGCATCCAGATATTTAACTGCTCTTGGTTTGGCAGACCATTTCTTGAGGTAAGGCCCCGAGGTAAGGTAAGGCCTCAAGAAATAGGGCCTTCAAAGGTAGGGCCTTTTTAAATCCATGACTGAAGAATCCTTAACCTGGCACCAGCAAAGCAGTCCCAAAATGTTCTAGTAATCTTTTATTCCTGGAAAGGGTCATGCTGATACAATCTCCTGAGTTCTTTCATCTCGATATTGGAAACGTGTTGGAACTCATTCAAAATCATCCTAGAATTCTTGAGATTTTTGTTTATGAATGAGGAACATGTGCTGTTTTGCTTCCTAAATGTAATAATTCTTCCATCATGTCCTAATCCTAGGAAACCCCTGGCTCTTCATCCTTCTTCAACAAATACGACCTGGTGCATCCTTCAAGATCACTCTGCTTGGGCTGAGATTGATCACAAAATATAGACCACAAAATCTCTGTCCAAAATCTTCAACTTTTCACCTGTCCTTGCTCCCATGTCTCAATAGTCCACAAAGTCATGGTAGGTTTCCATCAACACTGGTAGAAACACCTTTACAGCCATAGCAAACCACTGAGGTGCTACTTAAAGCTTCTTCCTTTCCTGTTTCACAAGCTGGTTTCTGAGACAGATACAACAATACCTACCACTTTCATACCTGTGAAATGGAAATACTTACATGGACGTTTTACACCAATCCCCCACAAACACAGGGACAAGTATTTATACAGCCTTTATTTGTATCCTTTGGTTGATACATGCCAAATCATCCTTTTCTTCCTACAAGGACTTCTAGGGATGAAACCAGAACACCCTTAGCCTGATCCTGACGGCATAGTTCAGTAACTGGGTAGAAATCTTCATAGTCCCTTAATGATTCCGGAAAGGACAGCAATATCACTCTTATATAACCCATAAAGTTGTACAACACTATATCTTCAAGTTTCACTGCCAAAAAGTTTCAGATGTACCAGTGTGGTTTTGATGCTGGGCTATTCTTCTAATCAGCTTCTTGCATACTTATCCCATTCTTTCTATACCATCAATGGAATTTATGGCCTGATTCTTCCTGATCGACATGGGAGAGCCTATCTGCACCAGCCATTATCTTCACTGCTGAAGGTGATCATCCATTCCATACCACAGTTCATCTCTAATGCCCAAAACGTATGTAGAGGTGCCATGATGACCTTCGGCTTCTTCAACTTTAACAAGCTTTGGCTTGGATAAATCACATATGGAAGAGGGACGGGCTGAGTAGCAGAAACATCCAGAAGGTAGTTTTAGAGAGTCCCTGAGTTTTTGAAGAACAGCTTAGTTTTTGCACATTGAGGAACAGGCGAGGAACTCACTCTGATGCATTCTTTTTCCCGCGCCGAGATGACTTTGCGGCGCTCCTCTTATGATTCCTCGATCCAGCTGCAAATGCACAGTTGAGTTTGTTGGGATAATGATAGCATCATTTGAAAAACTTTTTTTATTACTTTTATAGCTGCCATTCAATGAGTTAGGCCCAACAGTTAATAGTTCTTAACCTTCCAAAGGGATAAGGATAGGAGGCTAGATCAGGCAATATGCACTACAGAGCCAAAAGTAGGTGGACACCCGAACATCACATCCACATGTGTATGTTAAACATTTCATTCCAAAAGCATGGAGCTGGTACCCCATTGCTACTATAACAGCCTCCACTCTTCTGGGAAGGCCTTACACTAGAATTTCCAATCAGTGACAGGAGCATTCACAGGAGGTTCTGCCTGGCTCATAGTTGGCGTTCCAGTTTGTTGGCACTGTGTACACCATTCCAGCAGACACTTGCCATTTCGCTGTGTGATCATAGGCTTGTGTGAGGCTGCTCGGCCATGGAATCTCAATCCATGAAGCTCCTGTCCAGTCGTTGTTGTACTGATGTTGCTTCTAGAGGCAGTCTGGAACTTCCAGAGCATTAGTGAGGTTCTGCACTGAAGTTGGGTGATAATGCCTGGCTCACAGTTGGCGTTCCAGTTTGTTGGCACTGTGTACACCATTCCAGCGGGCATTTGCCATTGCGCAGGGTGATCATAGGCTTGTGTGAGGCTGCCCGGCCATGAAATCTCAATCCTTGAAGCTCCTGTCTAACAGTTGCTGCACTGATGCTGCATCTAGAGGCAGTCTGGAACTTCTGGAGCATTGGTGAGGGTCTGCACTGAAGTTGGGTGATAATGCCTGGCTCACAGTTGGCGTTCCAGTTTGTTGGCATTGTATACACCACTCCAACAGACATTTGCTATTGCGCAGGGTGATCATAGATTTGTGTGTGGCTGCTCAGACATGGAATTTCAATCCATGAAACTCCTGACCGACAGTTGTCGTGCTGATGTTGTTTCTAGAGGTTGTCTGAAACTTCCGGCTCTTTAGTATGACCCATTCTGTTCTCAATGTTTATATATGGAGATATGGAGAAAGGGTGCCCACATACTTTTGGCCATGCCATGTAGCAGCATATATGGATGTCTTGTTAGCACTTTTGCACTGGTTGGCTGGCTTGTTATTTGTAGATGTCGGAATACTATAAAGTCTTGAACCTGAAATGGCTGTCCTGAAATGTTAGAAAAGTCCCACCACAAAGCAAACTGATTCGCCCATAGAAAAGGGGAATTCAACAAAAACTGCTGCTTTCTTCATGATTTGGCATGTCCTGAGACTCAAAACTAGAATTAAATGATCTATGAAGGACTCGGAAGATGCAATGATGCAACTCGAGAACACTGAGAAGATAAGTAGAAAAGGTCTTCTGAAATTCCTTGGCACTGAAAGCAAAACATAGCTGTAATTGGAGAAAGGTTATTGAAACAGTGAGAACAAACCCTTCATTCTGGATTTTTGGTCATCCTTTTTCTCTTGTGTAGACAAGACACTTTGATGTTGCCCTTGATGTGCTGCATGATGGCACGTCTTTTCCATTCTTGCTTGCATCTGACGTACTAAAAAAAGATATTTTTAATGTTTGTCATTTTAAGGATTGACAAAATATCAATGATTACAAATACTTGATGCTATCAAGATACACACATTTAGTGGGATTATATGAAGTGTATTATTATTGTTTGAAGGAATTTTTACAGAGGTTTACTTTGAGGGTGCATGTAGTAGCCTTTGTGATAAAGATTTCTTGAAATTACATTATACAGATAAGATTATGACTGCTATGGGAAAATTATTCCAATTATCAACACTTAGCCCATATTGCATTAAGGTTAAGAATGTATTGCAGTAATGCTGAACATTATTGTCTGTTGTTTTTTCTTCTACCTTTTGGTGTATCACAAGTCACGATTGTGTCCCTCAATCTTCGTTTTCCAGGCATCCCTTAAGTTGGGTATCCTACCAAACAGCAGAGTCACCAATAAGAAGAGGATACATCTGTAAAGTGGCTGAAAAACACTTTAGGCTGACTTAGCAAAAGCTCATCAAGTCTGAAAAGCATGTTAGTCCAGGAGAAGGAAGATGAAAATTACTGTGAGTTCAGGATTAACCAGAGTGGGTTATAGGGAGCCAAGTACATACTGCTTGCATACTGATTGCGTCCAAAAGTAGGCAGTAGTATGCAGTATGTTACCAACATGAATTTCCCCAGTACGCCAAAGATACACAGATGACGTATGACCGAATATTTCAGTGTGCAGGCAAAGCTATCTTCATGATGTACTACATGAAATTGTTTATTCATTATTTTTTGGATAATTTAAATCAGAACATGTCACAACATGCTATAATGATGAGAGATGACAATATACATGTTGAACTGATACCACTGATGTATACACTGCTCACCTCGCTCTCTCTCATTCTAGATTAACTTTGCAAATGATCTTAGCAGCAACTGTTGATATGTGGTGCAGGAAACGATTATGCAGAGGTGGCCAGAGTAATCTGAATCCATAATAGCACAGAATAAGTAAGGTACTAGTAGTATAATAAAAATATTGATATCTAGGTGAAATAATGGCTTTAAAGTATCTTCCCAAAAAACAACTTGAGTACACACTTAAAAAAGAACCCTTTGCATGATTAAAGAGATTCAGATTAATGGGCAATGTGCTGTAGATGGTTCTAAATAGAACCTATTACAAGCTTGACATAGCAGAACCCTTTTTGCTGTATAGAACCATATACAGCACATTCTCCATTAATCTAATGAAGCCTTTTGCAATGCAAAGAAGTGCTGTGAGTGTTTAAAGTTCTATATATAACCATTTTCTTTACTGAAGAACCCTGGAAGAACCATCTTTTTTAAGAGCATAGAAGTACAAAAGTACCACAACAAAAAACTACTAAAGTACTGAGTACCATATAAAACTGCTGTGGAACTTTTTCATAAATCCAGCATCTATAGTATTAGCATAGGAACTGAAACTTGTACAGCCCTATTCCCCTTCTCTTTTTTGATCAATCACATAGCAGTAGAGATGTTGTCACTGCCAAAAATTAAATAAAATAAACACAAAAAAGTAATTAATAGCTAAATATAAATGGCTAAAACCGAGTAAAAAGTAGATTCCTTTACTCTCTAATATATCTGTGTGGAAGTAAAAATATTATGATTTGAAAATACTCCATCAATATTCCATGTACTTAAGTAAATGTAACTAGTTACTACCCAACTCTGTCCAACATACACAGAGCAGGAGATATAATGGTTGAAAAAAAGAATGTATTCAGAATGTGGGAACATTATTGCATTTGTTGAAGTTTTTGAGTTTAAAAAATAATACTAATATGCAATGAGACACACAGCCTACAACTCTGCATACACTTTTACTTGCTTGTGTTCTAACAACATGCCATAAAAGCAGCCAACAGTTGGCAAGGAAAGTGATTCGGCCTGCAGTAATTAAATGTAGCAGAAACCTAAACTCCATGTTTTGAAAATATATAAATAAAACACACACAAAAAAATACAAACTCCACCATAAAACAAGAAGATGTGGGTCTGTACTATGCTTCAATTACTATTTTTAAAATATTATTAGCAGTTGCAATTAATCTTTAAATCTGTGGGTGCTACACCCCCCTCAGCACCCCCACTTCCATGTCCACAAAGCGACATGGTCATTTCAGGAGGATGCAATCATGGATCCTGGTGGTCATGTTGTATGTGTAAGTCATGTAATACATGTCACTGTAATACATGTGACTGGACCCTGTAATACATGTGACTGGACAGTACTTTTGAAGGGCATCAGCATTAATTTGCAACATATTAATGGCCCTAATTATGTGACGCATGTAAAATATTTCTCCAGTTTTCATTTTATCTTTAGCTGGCCAGCTTAGGTTTTCTTATTATAGTAGATTACTTACACATAAGGAACACAAAAATGATTAGTTTTTAAAAAAATAGTAAATATGTAACCTAATATGGACACAGTGGGTAACTACATAAATAAAATAAGTGATTGTTTCAAGACAGCTGAGAAAATACAGTCAGAGTTTGGGGTGGGCTGATCTGTTTCATGTGACCCCCCTCGAAAAGTCTTTTTCTGGACATGGGCCTGTTATTACTGCAGTACGAAAGAGCTGAGGTGAAGATTCAGTGGGTGTCTGGTAACTGGTGCTTCTTAGGCCCTTCAACATCAGGAAAGCCTGATCAGGAAACACTCACTGACTTAGTATATCATAATAAGAAGAACATTTCTGATATTATGAGATTGTATCTCATAATTATGCTACTGCATGTTATTCAACAGTAAGAAAATACTATCTCATATTTATGACTTCATAATGACTGACTAATGATTAGGAAATACTGTGACTGCAGAAAAGAAACTAAATCTGGTAACACTTTACAACTAGAATAGTGCATTTCCTGAAGAAAACGCTGAGTGCTTGTGCAGCTTAAGCATGTGAGAATGATTGCTAATGTGTTGCCAGGCTGTTGCTATGGTATCACAGGTGGTTGCTAAGGTGTTTTTTAGCCAGTTGCAATGATATCCCAGGCAGGTGCTAAGGTGTTGCAAGGCGGTTGCTATGCTATCCCAGGTGGTTGCCATGGTGTTGCTTGGTGGATGGTATGGTATCCCAGGTGGTTTCTAGAGTGTTGCTAGGTGGTTGCTATGGTATCTGAGGTGGCTATCAGGGTGTTGCTAGACGGTTGCTATGGTATCCCAGGTGGTTGCAAGGGGGCTGCTAGGCTGTTGTTATAGTATTCCAGGTGGCTGCTAAGATGTTGCTAGGTGGTTGCTATGGTATCCCAGATGGTTGCTAAGGTGTTGCTAGGTGGTTGCTGTGGTATTACAGGTGGTTGCTAAGGTGTTGCTAGGCAGTTGCTATGGTATCCCAGGTGGTTGCTATGATGTTGCTAGGCGGTTGCTATGGTATCCCAGGTGGTTGCTAGGGGGCTGCTAGGCAGTTGTTATGGTATTCCACGCAATTGTTACTGTGCTGCTAGGCAGTTGCTATGGTATCCTAAGTGGTTGCTAAGGTGTTGCTAAGCAGTTCTTATTGTATCCCATATGGTTGCTTAATTGTTGCTAGGCATTTGTTGTTTATTTTGTCGATGGTAGTGAATTACCAAGTGTTAGCTGTGTATTTGACAATGAATGGGAGTCTCTGAGAGAAATGAGGAATGATGAAAAATGAAACTGAGCCTGAGTGAGTACATGCATTTTGGTGGCTGTTGGGCAAAGGAAATAATAGGCCTTGGGTGAGAGCGAAAAATGAATGGGACTCTATGGGAGGAACGAGCGATGAAAAAACAGCACATAGAGGAGTGCATGCCAGTATGCCTGTGCAGAAGAGTTTGAGGACCTGCTGTGAGTGAGTACATGCAATTTGGTGGAGCTTTTGTGGGGGGCAAAATGAATGGGAGTCTATGGGAGAAAAAAAGGGACATGATTATTTATTTGTTTATTTGTTTATTTGTTTATTTATTCATAGGGAAGACCTAGGACGAAGAGGAAAATAAAATAAACAAGAATAATACAAATAAAAAAATACAAGATAAAATAATTGAAATAGATGTTGCAATTCATGAAATGTATTAAAATATACCAAATGTGCACATATATTAAAGAAATTAATGTTAACATTCACAGTTATCTAAAAACACAATTATATCATAAAAAATACTTAATAGGATGCACTCTGCCAACTGAAGTTTCTGATTTTAAATATACTAAGCATAAAGTGCAAAAGCTTTTTTCCCAATTCTGAATTAACTCCATGCACTGCAAGAGATAATCTAAAGTGGTAAAGAAGGTCATGTGAGCCCTGCACACTGACTACCAATGGGCTTAAGTAATTTTGCAGCTGCCCAAGAAGTACTTTATAAACGCAAATAATTTGATGCTTATAACATCTGTTAGATTGTGAAGTCCATTGAACATTATAATAAAGATCACAATGGTGAGTAGAATAGCCATCTCCAGTTATGTATCTATTTGCATAAAACAAGTCCAAATAGCATAAAGTGGAGTGAGTAGTATTCACATAAATAATATCCCCATAATCAAAATCTAAAACAGCCTGAACAATCCTTTGTTCATTCTTATGAAAAACATGATCTGTTAATTTTTTTGATTATGCCTTGAACATGTTTGCTAAATGAAAATGTATTATTCAACCTATTCAAGCTATTTATATTCTAAAACAACTTCAATTACTGTCCATGACATGGTATTAATATGCATATCTATACAAGAGACTATATGAAACCTAGAAAAGATGATAAACTTGGTCTTTGAGTCATTAAGAACTGATTTAAGGTTCCCTAGTGAATGTTGGATGATTTTGAAAGTTGAAAGTAGATTTATTACCGCTAAGTTTACAGAGGAAGCAGTAGTACAGAGGACAGATCAGCATGTAGATGTATCTTACCATCATCCAAATGGTCTCCAATATTACTTATGTATAAAGGAGATAATAAAGGACCTAAAATAGAATTCTGTGGTAGTAATTTCTAAAAAAAATGAGTCCTGAAATCACCCACAGCAACACACTAAGTTCTGTGTAAAAGACAGCTATCAAATAATTTACATGCTTTTTCATCCAGAATTTTTCTCACAGTTTCTCCAATGGCAAGCAATGATCTACAGTATCAAATGTTTCAGAAAGATCAATAAATAAAGCAACAGAGTTAAGTCTACAGTCCAAAGAAGATAGGATGCGATTTCAAGAATTTAGTGGGTGAAGAAGCACTGTTTTTAAGACTGTCCAGATAATAGGCTGACTTCTTGACCAGGTACAAACACTTACTCCTAATCTGTCTGAACCTGACCTGATCTGAGGGTAATTAGGAAGCATGAGCTTTAGACCAAGCAACATTTCTTTCCTTTTGGACAGCTGACAACTCTGTAGAGAACCAGGGGTTTGTCCTGGCTTAA